GGGGTATGCCTCGCAGAGTCACGAGCAAAGAAGAATAGTGGACCACGTGATCTGATTGACAAATTAGCGTCAAGGTATCAGGTCGTGGGTCAAAGGTCATGGTCGTGATGACTAAAAACCAGGTAAGAGATGTCAGTCGGTAGTTGGCAGTCGAAGGGTGGGGACATAGGAAAATGCCTCTAGGAGAGTGAGTAGGGGAGCCATGAAAGGAAGAATAGCGGACCACTAGGCACCAGGGGCGCCATAGTAAAAGTAGTTCCGACCGGTGGTTACCTGGGGTCCGGTAAAGTACAATCTTACCCATTTGGCTTGGGTAATTTCTATGCCTTTGATTGATTAACATGAAGCATGCACTAGATTGATAGTAGTATACAGTGACAGTGAATATGAATAGCAGAAACAATGAAACCAGTAAAATGCTTACTACAGTATATATTATAATCATGTCCGTTCATCAAGTTAATTTCAGAGTTGTCTCAGATTCAGCCTCAACAGAAGGACACTGTGGTCAGTAAAAAAAGAACTGGACCAGATCCTTGGGGTCATGCAGGACAGTTTGTTGTCAGGGCTGAACGTATTTTTCAAAGTCAAAGTGATGGCGAACTAATAAAGTTAGGGTTTGTTTGGATGGTCATGCGAGTGCTGGCATATTTGACAGGAGGTCGGAGAGAGATTTTAATCGTGGAGTTCTCATTGAACTCCACCGTGAACTCCACCTTCCTAAATTGGGCCAAACCCTTGAGACCGCTTTTTAAAAAAAATTAAAAAAATAATTTCCAAGATTATTGCCTGGATCTGATTCAGATTATAGAACAACAACACTAAGTAAAGAAAAAAAGATTTGATGTACCCTAAGTTTTGTTCCAGGTTTTTATTCTTTCTTTGAGTCAGAGCCAGAACTGACAATTTTTAGGAAGTGGCTATTCTCACCCGGGGTGAGAATAGAAATACGATCGACCTCTCACCCCGGGTGAGACTTGCCACCGTAGGCTATTCTCACCCGGTGTGAAACAAGACCTGATTTTCCTAATTTCGGAATACTTTCTATCGATGTGGATGATCAAATGGATAAAGGCAAAGAAAAGATTACGTTATAGCACAAAAGTAAGCTAATTTTATCGACTACAAAGATGCTATGGCTATTTCACTTTTCGAATCGAGCCGAACTACGGGGGTCGCCATTTTGTTTTGCTCGGAAGTTCTCGCAAGATCTACTCCTCCCCTCTTCTCTCTCTCTTTCTGAATATTGTCTATCGGTGTGGACGATCAAATTGACCAAAACAAAGTTAAAAAATGATGTTAAAACACAAAAGTAAATTAATTTGGTCGTCTACAAAGATGCTACGGCTATTTAACTTTTCGAATCGAGCCGAACTACGCGGGTCGCCATTTTGTTTTGCCTGGAAGTTCTCCCGCTACTCCTCTCTCTCTCTCCACTGCCCACAGACAAAATTGTACGCTTTTAGTAGGCTAACAGTAGTAATGGAACGTTTGTTCACGGCACAGAATTCTACAAATTTTCTGTTATCACAGTGTAGAATACTATGGTTTAGGGTGAACGGTCCACGCAAAATTGGTTGGCCTAGATCTAGGCTATAACGGTGAACGCGCACCGGGTGAGAATAGGCAAAAGACTACAAGCCTGCACTATTCTCACCCGGGGTGAGAATAGAGGTGGCCCAATTTTTAATATAACTAGCCTAATCAATCATATATCATTTTAATCCTTGTGTCACTTGTGTACACTAATTACGTAAGTAGATCTAGAAATCTAGACCTAGATCTAATTATAGTAGATCTAGATCTAATTGTAAAAAATCCCACCTGAAGTCCTGAACACAACATTTAGGTGGCTAATGAAGCAAGTACTTACAGTAAAGTCCAGGAATTGTCACTGTGACCGCTTCCCGTGTCTACTTACTACTTAATTTCTTACTAATATACTAGAACCAAGATTAAGACTTTCATTCTATTTTGTCTCATACTCACACAGGAATCAGTGATATTATTATAAGATTAGCCAAGAAAGTCGCATTGAGAGTGACTCTTGACTGTCGAGGCTTCTGTTGTTGAGATCATAAAAGGCCAAGCCCAAGTAATTTTGACTCCTCTATCAGCAGTAGACTATGAAAACAAAGCGGACCAAGGGATTGGAGTCACGGTTTGCTGCTAAGAAATTGTAGTTGAACAGAACTGAAAACGTGTTGAAAATGTAAAGAGAGTTAATTCTATAAACCGAGAGTTGACAATTTTGAGCTCGTGAGAAAAAAAGCGGCAGCACAAGACAAGAGTTGTTGGGCATGAGCCACGGGGCAGGTGCAACATGAAAAATGGGTCACGAAAACCGAAGCTCTCACTGTCACAACAATGGTTAAAGACATATCAAATACAATGAAACGGGTGCAGCTTAACACAGAAATCTTATTTCTATCTAAATTAATCCTCTTGAATCAGCCTAAGAAATGTATAGCTCCGGTTTGGTACCTCATAAGGCTTCACTACATTTTTGTTGTCGTCCGGACTTGACATCCGTCCGCCATTTTGATTTGTAACATAAGATATTCATTGTAGCCTCATTTTCGAAAACAGATGGGGAATCCTGACCTAGAAGTAGGTTATCTGATTTTAACCACGGACACTTCAGCCCAGAGTGCTTCAGTCGAGGCTGAGAAAAAAAATTAAGCGTGGGCGGAGTTTTCACAATTACAAGTACATGTGCATTAGTAACTTTCTGGCATTGCATTTAAAGCCAGTATTTTGAGTCTTTTTATTCTTGTTCATTTCTTTCACCAAAGAATGTCGTCCTTTACTTCACCAACATCATTTAAAGTGCCAGATTTGAAACAGACATCAGCGATCACGATTAGGCCTGTGCTACATTAATTATAATATTTCTCCGCACGGATCCTCTAATAAATCCCAAATTATAATTATAGCCTGGTGTTTCCCCGTCACTCATCTGTTCAGGTTTTCCAAATAATTAATCTCTCTGGGTGGGCCCCTGCCTCGTTTGCCTTCTATCTTTCAGGTGAGAAAAAGATTTTCAAAGCCTTTATGTCGAGTCAAGTGCCCTCCAGAAACCGCAATGTTGTCGATGTGCTATACTTTCTTTACTTCCTCGTTTTAGTTCTTTTCTGTCCAAAAAATTCTTAAAGTCTTTTGAGAAACCACATTTCTGTTGCTCCTATTATTTTTATCCCCGCTATCGTTGGTTATTGTCAATATCACAGCATTTTTAAGAACCCTTGTTTGCGTATATAGGCCTAGAATGAGATTATAACGGTTGTCTCTATTTAATCTTCAGAATATAATTGATTTAATCAAAGCCGTAGTTTTAGCTATTAAAAATCTTTGTTTTATTTCAAAGGAAATGGAACAATCGGCATCAGACGTATCCCATATAGCCTACTTTATATGACCTTATGCAGTTGTGAGCGCCGTAAAATCTTACTAAAACAAACATGAGTATTGCTTCTCTCTCTTTTAAAAAATATATATAACCATGCATGCATTACCTTTTCGTCACTGTTTGGAGGGGGGGGGGTTGCTTTATTATATCCACTGACCAATTGGATATGTTTTCAAATCGCTCTTTTAGAGACAACCCAATATTTAAAAGTAACATATATTATTATTTTCTCTTTTGGTGTGAGTTATACATTCCAGGCTCTGGATCACGTACATCTATTTTTTTC